GAAAATTTGGAAATGATTGAAATTATCTTTTAAAAAGTTAAAAAATTAAGCTTATTTATATAAATATTCCTATATACAAGAAATAAACTCAAATAGAACATTAAATCAATATTATTTTAGCAATCGGATAAATCTGAAAGTTCAGTTCTTAGAAATGATAAATGATAATACTATCGTTCTTTAGGAACGATAAAATCATTATTCTTTAGGTACGATAAAACAATTATCTCTAAGGAACGATAATACTATTGTCTCTAAGGAACGATAAAATAGTTGTACTTAAGAAACGATAATACAATCGTTCCTTAGGTACGATAAAACAATCATTTCTTAGAAATGATAAAACTATCGTACCTAAGGAATGATAATACCATCGTTCTTTAGGTACAATAAAACAATCATTCCTTAGAAACGATAAAATCATCGTTCCTTAGGTATGATAATACTATCGTTCTTTAGGAATGATAAAATCGTCATTTCTTAAATATGATAAAACAATTGTCCCTAAGGAATAATAAAACTATCATACCTAAGAAACGATAATACCATCGTTCCTTAAGAATGATAATACCATTATCCTTAAGGAATGATAAAATCTTCGTTTCTTAAGTATGATAAAATAATCATTCCTAAGGAACGATAATACCATTGTTCTTTAGGTATGATAATATCATTGTCCCTAAGGAATGATAAAAATATCGTTTCTTAGGAATAATAAAACTATCATTCCTTAGGTACGATAATACTATTGTCCCTAAGGAATGATAATACCATCGTCTCTAAGGAACGATAAAACTATCATTCTTTAAGTACGATAATACCATCGTTCCTTAGGAATGATAATACTATTATCTCTAAGGAATGATAAAACTATCATATCTAAGGAATGATAATACCATCGTATCTTAGGTACGATAAAATCATCGTACTTAAGGTACATTAATACTATCGTTCCTTAGGTACGATAATACCATCGTACCTTAGGTACGATAAAATCGTCGTACCTAAGGTATTTTAATACCATCGTTCCTTAGATATGATAATATCATTGTATCTTAGGTATGATAAAATCATTGTATCTTAGGAACGATAAAACTATCGTATCTTAGGAACGATAATACCATCATTTCTAAGGAATGATTATACCTATTGTACCTAAGGAACAATACAATCATTCCAATCAGATGTCAATCAGTTATAAATAAGATAGGTTGAATTTTGATATATACCAATTGGCTATAAATAAGATAGGTCAAATTTTGGCTGATTTTTGGCCAATTTTTGATGTATGCCAATCGGCTAGGCTGATTTTTGATAATTTGCCGATTTTAGGCCGATTTTAGACTGATTTAGGCTGATTTTAGGCTGATTTTCACATGTCTAATTTTTTTGATTTTGACCAGTGTATATTATAATAAGAAATTAATCAATAAGTTTTGATAATATTTTTGTTATAATTTTGCAAATTTATATTATGATTAATAAATTTTAATATTTAATAAATTTAATTATATAAAATATACTAATTTTATATGCTTATTTAACTAAAATTAATGCTAAATTGAAGTTAATTTTATGTTGATTTATGGTTGTTTAAATTTTAAATTAATGTGAATATTATGTCTGATTAGTATCAATTAGTATATATTTGTGCTGATTGGAAATCATAACAAATTTTTCATAAATAGTGTCAAAATTAGCTAAATTTGATTATTCAATTTCTAGCTAATTTAGACTAATTACCTAGTATTTTATCATTTTATAATATTTAATATAGTATTACCTTTTTAAATTTCATAGATTTTTTAATATTATTTATTAAATATACCTTATACCATTTATATAATTTGTAATATTTCTGGTTTTATTAAGTAATTTTAATTATAATTAAAAATATTATATCAAATATACTTATTATTAATAAAATTATAATTACATTTAATTTATATTATTATATTACATAAGTCATAATTCAAAATCTATTTTATATTAAAGTATAATGATAATATAATTATTATCATTATTATACAGAAGATATTTTTATATATTTTATATTTCTAAAATAAATTAAAACTTTTAAAATAATAATTTTAAAATTATTTAAATAATTATTATATTAAAATTTTAATTAAACTAATTTTTAAAGCTTTGTAAATTTTTTTAAATTCTTATATCAATAATTTTTTATATTTTTAATATACTTAATTATGCAAATTTTTGAATAAAATTGATTTGTATATATTCAATAAAATTATTAATGATCTTATTTCTGCTTAATTTATGAAAAATTTAGATAGTAAACGAATTATTTTATATTATGATTTTTCTTAAATATCCTATTTTAAAACAAGCATTAAATATTTATAAATTTATTTTTATTTTTATTTTTACATAAGTTTAAAAAGTCTTAATAATTTCTAATTAACTTTAATTAATTTTTAAAATATCCATTTTTAAAAAATTAATTTTCTTTTAAATATTATTTTATTAAAATTTTCAATTAAAGTGATTATACTTATTAAAATTAAGTTTAAATTTCTTTAATTTTAGAATTAAATTTAGTTCTTAATTTAGGTTTTAAATAAGAAATTTTTAATTTTTAAATTATTTTTATTTTAAATTAAATAAATTTATTTATATTAATGTATAAAATAAAAAATTTAATATATACAGTAAATAAATTATTTTTGTAATTATATTATTATACATTATTAAAGTCTACTAGAATTAACATTTGCAAATACATCATAAAATTTTTATTATATCTTTTTGTATAATTAATAGAATAATGCATGATTTCACGTGATTCAGAATCGCGCATGATGTAAATTTATTTTAACGTAAAAGTTCACCTTTTTAACTAGTTAGGTAGATATTTTGAATATCTAGATTTTGGGTAGCTTTTAAAATTATCATTAATATATGTTAATTCATACAAAAATGATGAGGATATTCATCTTCAAGTAGAATATAAATCTGACTTTTTTTTCAACAGATAAACAATATTTTAAAAAAATTAATATGAGTAAGCCAAAATAATTGTATACTAAATTGTATATTGGAAAAAAAAGATTAACAGATTGATATATAGTATATGACAAACTCCTAACATTGTACTCCTTAATCACAAGGTATTGTTATTTTAGACTATGTTTTGGTTATGCAGTACCTTTGTGCTGCTGTTACATTATTTCCGTTATCTAGTTGGTTAAAAATTAACCGGATCCTATTTTTTTTAGAATCGATTCCCAATCCCTAAATCGAAAAATCCGAATTTCTATTTTGTACAGAACTAATCCAGTAATTTGATAAATGAACCTTATACATTAAATAAAATAAACTTGATTAGTGAATGAATTATCTAATTAAACTCAATTCTAATTTAATTCTATAAACTAACTATGATCGGCATTATTATACTTTTTTTTTACACCATATATTTTGTTACACTAAAAGTATGAATCGATCAACAAAACGGCCAGACCAACCTATTTGCGACACAAACATTCCAATCTAATCTTATTATAAATAATCGACTAAATTCCTTCTTTATACAAATAAAAATTAAACCAACTTCACTTGATGTTATCATAAAATATGGTCCAATTAAATAACAGTTATGCACGAAGTTGTAAATTTTCTGAAGATAAATCCACACAAATTTGTGCATGCGACTTTCGGATTAACATATATCGTTGCGATCATAATGAATTTTATATTATAGCAAGTCTTATTACACTGATACTTAATTTGCTCATCGTTTTGCTCAGTGCGGTGAATTTACGTTATTTAATCATAATTAAAAATCAACCTATGCGCTTGCCACCCACGAGAGAAAGAGGATTTCTTAGGTATTTGCCGTTATATTGTTATTTCCATATTTGTAAAACAATTTAAGTCATTTTGCATTTCTCTATTAGATTTAGGCCGCCACATTCACAAAAATTAGGCCTTATTGTTTTTAATTTAGGTGAGTTGAAATGTTGAAAATTTTAGCGAATTCGCAAATGAATATTTATAAATGATTGTATTTTGATTTAGCGTTTGCAATTAATTGGTCATGTTTACTTTGTGAAATTTATCCTAATGTTCTTTGGGCCGAAAGTAAGTGAAATCTAAAATATCCTATTCTATTATTTAAAAATTAATTGATTTGATTGTAAATTTATATATTTTGTCTTCGTAGTCTTTGGTATAATTCCTTATAATTTATTAGCATCGATAAGTGGTATTGATCTTTTAGGCCTTGGTATATAATCATTTGTTTACCTTATTTTACAATATGAATTCTGTTTTTAGGTTAATTCTGCTTATCTTTTTTTATTAGTTTATGCAACACCTTCAGTTGATGACGATGAAGATTGGGTCACAAACAAACTTTTAACAAATAAATTGATATTAGATATCATTGGAATTTTGATATTACTACATCCATTTTGTTTATTTCTACCGATTGCAGTAAGACTGGGTTCATATGCAGATCAGCCTGAAACACTTGATAAAGCATACTATTATTTTAAAATACTTTTTATAGCTTGGCCTAGTGGATTGGCATTGTTACTTGTATTTAAATTTTTCCTTTGGATGAGATTGACTTGGGTAATAAAGCATCAAATAGAAACCATCAAGGAAAATTCTGATGATACAAGTATTAGCCTTAAATTAGTGAAGTGGCAAAATTTAATGAAGAAAGTAAGTACTTATTCAATGACTTGTTTGTTTTTAAAGTATTTAATTAATTGCTTCTTTATCTTTAGATTAATAAATCATTATTTCTAAATACTATTAATGTACTCGCTAAACTTCCAATTTTTATCATATTTGCACTTTTATTTAAAGAAAAACTTATATTTAATTATAATTATAATATATTATTTTATATTGTAATGTATATGTTTTCCCCCTTTGCGCTATCATGTATTGAACTTAAATGTTTTTATGAGTAAGTAAAAATATTTTAAATTTTGTTATATTATTATTACGAATTAAATTTATTCTTCAATTATAGAAACTACTTCAAGAGGAAGCCAAACGTAGATGATTATCTAAATGATAATAAAGCTACCGATAATAATAAAGATAATTCAGAAGGCGGAAAACGATTTTCTTTTGAAATCGCTTCTTCCACTAGTAAGGTTTAGTTAAATAATTTTAAATATAATTTATTATAAGCTACAAAAAAAAAAATTAGGTTTACATTAGAATTATGATTATGATAAGATTTTTTTTTTTAAAAAATAAAAATAAAAATAAAAAATAAAAAAAACTAGATATTTATTGTAATAATTTTATGTTGGTTGTCAAAAAATAATATGTCCAAATCTGAAATACATTCGTTAAATCTGAAACTTCGACTCAAATCGTGGATGCGTGAAATTTTTTAACGATAACGAATTTTCGTGAAACATTATGAATTATTTATTTTACCAAAGTACTGTTTTTGAAAATTCCAAAAATTACAAGGATGTATGTATTAATATAACTTGGGTTTAGGGTTATGAATTTGTGATTCGTTTTCCTATTACTTAGCCTATAAGTTACGATCACTAATTTTTTTTAATAGAGTTGAATTCCAGACAGAGGTCCAGATAAAATCATTATCATCAAGTATCACGACACTTTGTGTTTTAAGTAATTTGGAAACAAAATTTTGTAATATTTTTATAATAAAAAATGTTAATACAGAAAACAATTGTATATCACGTTGATATTTGTTATTGTTATCAATATTTGGAGTATTAATATCCAATATTTTTCTAAAAAAAAAAAGAAATTATTATTAATCAAATGAAATTGATTGCTTATTTATTAAATATGTTTACATTAATATTATTATATAATTGTTTGAATTGCTAATTTCATTGGAAATCTAATTTTTGAAGACGTGATAGGGATATTCGAATGTTTGTTTATCTATATCAGGATTCCTATGTATCCAAAACTAGTCACGAGACACAATTAATTTATATTGTATACTCTAAAACATAACAGTAATACATAGATGTAAAGGCTTAGTCCGTGTAATATTTGTAATATATTTATAATATATTATTTTGATTTCTAATTTGTTTATATTTATGATTAAAGAATTTTATAATTTTTTTCTAACTTGTTTATACTCATATTTAACGAATGAAATAAATATTTTTCTTTACAATAAAATTCTCTAAGTGTAATGTTTAAAATTAGAGATTGGAACCGGTTCTATTTCCGAAAACCGGTTTTAAATATTTTCAAAAAATTCGACCCGGTTTAAACCGGTT